AACGTTCATTTGATTGACATTTTAATTTTTTAACATTTAATAACATTCCAACAACTTCTGCAGCTGCTGCATAACTATTTCGAAAAGAATTTTTCATATTTTTTAATAATATTTCATTAAATTTATCTTTAGTTAAATCATTTATTTCATTATAAGGTAATATATTATTAGCTAATAATATTCCAATTAACGATAAACCTATAGCATTATATTTTGATTTAATATCTTGATCAGATATTAATTTATATAGAATTAATGTTGGTGAATATATGCGTTCATTCCATAATTCAATTAATTTTTTAATTAAATCTAAATTTGATTTCATAACAAGAGAATTTTTATGTGTACAATTAAGAAATAAATATTCTAAAAGACGTTGTACTGATGTTCTATCAAGTTCACTTGGTATAGCGATTGTATTCCATGATAATAATATAACAATTGTATCAATAAGAAATGTATTTAAACCTTCTGAAGATTTTTCAAACATTTGATTACACATATGAATTATTAATGTTAACCAATAACGGGCATAAGGTTTAAATATTGTATGTGTATGTGTAATAAGACGCATAATAAATAATTTAATATTAAATGCTATTGTTGTATCACTAAATTTTTTTTATAAACAAATCATCCAAGGTGGTATATCAGATTGAATAGTTGTTATACCATTTGTTTCCATATGTTTACGTAAACAAATCATAGGTACCATACATGGATGTAAATTAAGTTCATCCATTTCAATTTCAATAAAATTTGCTTCAAAATCATTATCTGTACCTTCGATTAATGCTGGTCTATCATCACTTTTTTTATTTAATGAAATTTCAACTGAATTTTCTGAAGGAGAATTTAATTGACTTTTATTTAAATCATTTTGTTGCTGACTAGCAACAACGGATGTAAAATCAAAAATAGCTAATTCATCTGTTAAACTACTAGCAAATAAATATTGAGAAGGTAAATAACGTGGTGTAGTTGATGAACGTTGTTGATGTAATTGATTATCAGAATTTGATGATGTAAGAATTTTTTTACATAGAATGTTTAATAATGTACGTTTGTCTTTTTTATAATAACATTCAAGTTCAAGAGGAAATTTATATTTATGATCTGGATCAATTATATTTTCAAAGTTATATTCGTTCTACAAAAGATAAACAAAGATATTATTTTTATTATAACATACAGTTGGTAGAAACAAAATTATAATGACTTATGAAAATAGTCAAGGTTCTTATAACGAACTGACTGGTATAGAAAGTTTCTTGAGCAAGAAATAAATGTTTTTAGAACTTTCAAAAAAAAGACAAAGAATTGTCAAAGATCTAGTAGAAATGTAGATGTGGATGCACTTCTAACCATCAGTCACATATATTCCCTGAATTATTCAAATATCTGAATAACAAATTATTATTTTACTTCACAAAAGAACAATTTTAATAATCATGTGATTAGTTTTTAAGCTATTTGTAGTTTATCTCAATAGAAAACTACCAGACACAATGAGCCTTTCAAAGTCATGAAGTTTCTCTTATCTCAAGAACTGCTATAAATATAGATAATCTTGATACTATTAGAAATAGCAATTGTGTAAAGAATAAAATTAGCAAAATAAATTCATTCTTCTTGAATATGTTACGTAATTGTTTTTTTGCTATGATCTCTATTCTTCTATCTGATGGATAGAGACGTGTAGAGTAAGTTTTTTTTTTTGTGTCCTGTAAAACTTCTACCGTTATCTTAACCTATAAAATTTTTATCTCATTCTACTTCATAATTTTCGTTTAGTTTTATTTCGAATGAAGAGAAAGTCAAGAAGAAATCTACCTAACTTCAGGAAGAGAATATTTACAAATAAAGAAAACATGTTTTATTTTTCGAAGAAAATAGTTAGTTTTTATTGAAAACGAAAATGAAATATTTTCTTTATTAAACAAGACTGATTTTTCTTAAATATTCGAAAAAAATAACTTTTTATTTCACAGAAAATCGATAATTCTCTCTGATAATCACTGACAACTATCTATGGTCTTCCTCAAGGTTAGACCAAAAAGTGAATTCCATGAAAACTCTATTTTTTTTTATTGTTAAATAATCTGCTATTTGCAGTTTTATAACCTTCGAACTTGATTTCCACTGTTCAAATGACTTTTCGACAAAAAGATTTTGCGAAAATATTTGAAATATATAAAAGTTCACTCAGTTTCGGATGTTGATTTAGAATATCAAATCAATTTTCATATATAAACCTACTCAATAAGAGTAAAATAAAAGGTTCAAAATCTTGCCTTGAGAACAATGTCCTTACGATTTCTTTGTCTGACAAGTGTTTTTTCTCGATGTTTTTATACCATTTTGAATCGCTTAAGAAATGCTATCGAACTATATGAAAATAGTCTAATCGCTCATGAGATGGATAGATAAAAAGTGCTGATTGTCATAAATAATCGAGTTCAATGTACATGTGACGGCTACTGACTATTTCAATCGACCTGTGCACGGCACAAACAGGTAATATATGATTAGTTTTACTACGGCTCATTTTCGGACATCTTCTATGATACTTTGATATAGAAGAAATAACATTTCTCGAAGAAGTCAATTTTAACTATTATCATCTCCTTCCTTTCTAACTGTTACCTCAGTCTACTGTTGAAAACCTCTTCCCTTACCCTGCTCATATGGTAACTATTTCCGGTGAACAATCAGTATTGTATCATAGTGTACTGTACCAAAATAAGAGTCGCCTGTACTAGCCACAGAGTACAAATCGATCCCAGTTATAAGATAAATTTGTATTAGTAAAATACATTCTGAAAATGTTTTCTTCTCAGTTGATTTGAATTCTTTCTAATAAATAATTCAAACTGAAGCAGAAAACACTCTTTGTAATCATGTTAACGTTCAGGCTCACTTAAAGATTGCGCGTTTTCTTCTCTCTCTATCTCTCTATTTATTCTTTGTGAAAACAAAAGTTTATATACGTATATGAAAAACAAGGACAAAATAGAATAGAATACAAAGATTAACCAAAATCAAAGAAAAGTAATAGAAACGAAAATATCAAAGAAAAGACAATAGATACAATCGAGATGTATGTAATAAGAATACGCCGTAACAAATCGTTAATAGTTGGAATCGAAAGTCATAAGCACTACCGGCGGTAGTACAAAGAAATGTGCGACATATGTATCCTATTCTGCAGAGGATAGGATAGAGTAATCTTACACATCTCTATCTGATGATATAATTTTCGAGTAATTCCTAATGATTTTTCTCTCATTATTTGTAAAAATTGATTTTTAAATAAAAATTCAAAACTATTCTTAAATTTACCTTGGATACATTAGCATCAAAAATAAAAGCTTTATAAAGTTTAGCTTCTGTTTGTGTACAAATTGATACTGAAATAAGACAATTAAATGAACTTATTGCTAATGAACGAATTAAATTCATTTTAATTTCTTTTTCTATTGTTGTTACATTTGTTAATATCATTTCCATTGATTTAATTATTTTTTCCATCAATAAATTGTGCACGTGCACGTGCAATAATATATTTTGTTAATTCTTTTCCATCCATTGTTGAACCAATTTTAATAGTTGTTATTGGTATTTCAATATTTAATATTTTTCTTGCTTCTTCTTGTTTTTTAACTGTTTGATAAAAAATTTTTGCAATTGAAGAATTTAAACCAAATATATCATCTTTATTTAATATTGTATACATATAATCAATAAAACGATATGTAAAAATTTTATTAATTAATATTGATGTTATTATTGATGATGTTAAATCAATTTTAATATCAAATTGTTCAATAACAAATGTTGATATATATATTTTATAAAATTCAATTAATGTTTGTTTTTGAACTGATGTTAACATTTTTAATATAAATTTTTGTAATGCATTTAAACGATGTTCGATACGAAATAATGAATTTTGTTCAAATAATATTGAATAAATATAATCAAGTAAATTAATTTGTTTATTATGATCATTTAATTTAATTATAAAACGATTTATTGATGAAAGTATTTCATCTTCAAATATATGATTTTGTTTACAATATAACATCCATATTAATAATTCAAATAATATAAATGATAATGATAATGATAATTCAAGTGCTAATAAAATTTTTCTTATTGCACCTTGATAATCATGATATTCTTGTGTACCTTTATGAAATTCACTACTTTTTAATGGAAAACAATCAGCTGTAAATATATGTAATGTACGACAAAAATCATCGGACCATTTTTTACGTTTATCTTCTAATAGATCTTCATCAATATCAAGTGATACAAAAAATGGTAATAAATCAAGTAAATGTGTTTTAAATGTTATATTTAATTGTTTATCAATTAATAATGATAAATACATTTGAGATATATGATCAAATTGTTCATGTGATATTAATAAACGACTATCAATAATAAATGTTTTTGTTAATAATGTAACAATTAATAATTTATCATCAATATTTATTGAACGATAAAATAAAATAAATAATGGCCAACATGAATATATACCATCAACAAATTGTCGACCACATTGTTGACGTATATCTTTTTCTCGACTACATAAATCAAGAACAATTGTAAGAAATGAAGCAATTAAACGACATTGTTCAACAGTTTTTATTTTATTTCACCAATATTATTTATAATAAAATGTGGAGTTGTACCAAGCCAACTAGTTATTTGATATTTAAATAATGTTAATAAATAAATTCCAACTGTTGCCATACCAGAATCAGTATGAATACGAGTTGATTGAAAAAAATACGGTAAAACTTCAGTGGGCTAAAATAAAAAAATAAAAAGATAGTTGAATTCAATTTTATTTCTTGAGGAATTATTTTGAAACACAATCTAAAAGAAGTATTGAAATGAAAATTTGAATCTTCCTCTCATAGACCGAGAGAGACACTTGTTAGAAATCATCACAAACTACGATAGACACTAACCAATAGAGTCCATGGCCAACCCGACAGGCTGTATTAGCTAAAGATCATGACAGACGCTACAGGTCTCGATATCGGACCACTTTTTTATGGTTCGATCCGATTCAACTTTTGTTCAGCCCGGTCGAGCCCGAAAGAAACTTCGTTTACAAAGGCTTTTTTTTCTCAATAGACAGATAGTCCATATTTTTCGGCTTTTATAAAAAGTAATGACCAAGGAGGATGGTAGCGTAGAGAAGCTTCCTCCATCCTCCTTAGGAGTGAGCCAAATCTCAGAAAAAGGATAAAATCGTCGAGCCGGACTGGGTCGGACCGTGCCGTACCGAGCAGCTCGTTTCGAGGTGTGAACGCTAGTCAGACACTATCACAGATCGTGACAGATGTTGTTGATATACAATCAAAGACCATATATCAATAACAGCTCATTATAATATATAAGCTACTTCTTTATTGCATTTCTAGAGTGGTGAAGCAATATGTCCAAGATAGATAGAAAAAAAAACAATCTTCTTATGATTAGCAACAGCAGCTATATTGTGTTTCACGTTTTAATCCTACAGAAATAACGGTAACAGCATTTTTTTTTACCTTAATGCCTAAATAAATAATATAATAAAATAGAGCTTGTAAACCACGTTGATTATCAATAGTTAAAACAATATTTGCTTTATCACAATCCTCTTCATGTGTAATTATTTTCTGAAAAAATAGAGAATAAGTTTTTACATGAATGTTTTTTTTATATAAAAGAAAAACAAATACTGTTAACATTGTTGTCCAAAGTTCTTTAGCATATTGTTCAGGTTGAGTTGGTTTAGGTAATAATCGAACATCATGTAAGAGACGAAGTCCACGAGTAATAGTGAATATAAGTGACCAACGAACAGGATTCATATTGAGTTCCTTTGTTAAGTTGTATAATCTTTAAATAATAAGATTAATATTGAAATTTCAATAGATATTTATGAGAGATGTATAGGATCAGATTTTTGATTACTGCTAATCTGAATTTTCAATTTCAATCTGATTCATATGTGATTATTTTGATCAGTTTAAGATTTTCAGGTTTAACTGATCTAATCTCTTTCTATTAGTCTCTCCATTGTGGACTAATATATTTATTCATACGTTCGAGATACTGATTTTACTGTATCTAATTGGTAGAATAAAAATCTCATCCTAATTTACCCGTCAGATTTCGTCATTTGAAGTGTATTACTATAAAATGGTTGTAATAATTGTTCAGGTAGATGAGTTATCATTGATTTGAGTAGAATAAGAATCTAAATAATTAAATTTCAAATAAATTAAATAATAGTGCATTGAAACAAACTCGTTCTGGTAATTTTTTATTAATTTCTTCATTATTAATATCAAATCCAACTTGTGTTGGATTAAATACACAAGTTAAAATTAATTTTGTTAAATCATTACTATAAAATGAATTATCAATTGCACGTCTTATATCAAATGGATATTTTAACCAAATTGCTGTAATAAAATTAAGTAGACGAACAATTACTGTACATTTTGCACTAAATATATAATTAAAGATAAGAAACAAATATCAATTTGTCTTACATATTAAATTGACGAACATCATTTGGAGTAAATACATATGATTGATTTGAAATTGGAAAATAACTAACAATATCATGTAATGTATTCATTGATATTTTTGAAATAAAATATGATAATGATGTAATTAAACGACTTTGTTGATTGTTATCTAAAATAATGGAATAAAATTTATCGTATAATTGTCAATTAATTATTTCAACTTTGAGGTATGATAACAAAAAATTTCTGAATATTACCTTGGAATAGAAGAGGATTGAGAAAACCTTGTGAAAATACCCATATATAACAATCTAATGAAGCAATAACTGTATCAAGCCATTGATAGACAATTGGAAGAGAAAATTGTTCATTTATATCAGTTAAACATCGTTGATATGCTAAATTTGCTTTAAATCTTGTTTTTTTTTCTTTACTAATTGTACCTTCAAATCTAAATAAAAAAAAAAAAACTTTATAAAATTTCATTTTTCTTCAAATTATTTTTTTTTATCTTTCAATAAAATAAATATTTCCTTCTGATTTAATTTTAAATTCAAATATTCTCGTATTGATCGAATACCTTTTTTTTTGTTTTTTTAAAAAAGAAATATTCCCAATTATTATAATAAATTATTTCATACCAGGTAAAAGTGAAATAAATATAAAAACCAGTTCAATACATTTTCGTCGTGATTCTGTTTCAATTCTTCCACATTGTCGAAGTAACCATCGAATAGTAACATCAAGTAATTCTTCAGTCCATGATCTAAATATTTATCAAATTAAAAGATATTTTCTAAGAAAAAACAAAAGATGCCTACGGTGGACGATGTCGTTTTGGTGTTTCTTTAATAAATAAATTTGCTTTTTCTTTTATGATTCGTTCTATATGAGATAAAGCTCCTATTGCTTGTTGTTGAGTACCTAAAAAAAGAAAAAAGGCAAATCATAACAATTCAACAAAAGAAATCAAGCATAAAAGGTTTTGAACTTATCCTCTCTATATTATTTTCATCATAGAGATGTCATGAAAAATGTTAATGACCATACTCCTTTACTGATTTTAGTGTCAAAAATATGTACAAAGAAAGAATATAATTTCAAGAACAGAAAATAAATGACAAGGTTTACTTTTTCACAATAAAAAGAAACTTCATGAAAGTGATGTTTCAACAGTATGTATGAAATATATTTTTACATTTGTAGTAAAGATGTTTTTTTCCTATTAATTCAAAAAAAATTTATATCTTGATTTCTTTTTTAAATAATAACCATTAGGGTAAGTAATAGCAAATAAAAATAGCAAAATGTCATTTCATATTGTTATTTTGTATAACTTAATATTTTTTTTAATTTGTTTTCTTCTTTTCGAAATAAGTTCTTTTTTGTCATATCATTTTCATTAAGAATCACCGCATTTTCAAGATCGCATAGCATAATACGATTATGTTTATCATTATTATCATCATAATTGACAAGAAAATTTTCGCAGCGTAAATCATTATGTAAAACATTATTTAAATGTAATTGACGTAGTGCATGTAATGTCATTTGTTTTTCATCATATGTGTACTCGTCGAAGTTTTTTGGTTTTCCACTAAATTCATAACATACAATATAAAACCAATTTAAATTTTTTAAATATCCAGATGTAATTCGATTCGGAATAATGATACCTTGTAATGATTTTAAATGTGCGTATAATTGTTTTTCATGTTTTAATCGTGTTATCATTTCTTTATTTTTTATTATGTCGCAAATTTTTGTTGCACATATTTTATTATCATAAAATGATTTGTATACATGACCGTTACGACCATAACCTACAACTTCATTGGTTAATTTTAATTTTTTTGATCTTGATGATTTCTGTTTTTTTCTATTTAATGATTGTTGTTGTTTTTTCTGTCGTTTTGGATAATCTATATTGTCATCATCATCATCATCATCATTTTCTTTTTCTCTATCTTCTTCTAATTCATCATCATCGGAATCATAATTTTTATTATCATTTTTTGATGTATTTGGACTACATGTATGATCTTCAATTGATAAGTGCACAATATAATATAATGCACGATAAACTGATACATCAACATCACATGATTTTATTGCTGTTGAAATATGTAATACATTATTTTCACGTTTCATAAAATAGAAATTTTCATAATTTGTTAATATTCCATATTTTAAATTATTTATTCGCATATAGCCAAAAATTTGTTGTACTGGAAGTCTAACAGTATTACCAACAAGATGATAAGCAGCAGCTAAATTATCTGGTGCTGCAAAAGACCAGATTGTTTTGACTTCACCGACAAGTTTTGCTGTTTCATTATGATAAAAAACAAAGTCAGGTTCTCCTATAGAAAAAAAACAGAATCAAATATAGTTAAAAAATAAAACAATGATTTATAACTAACAGCCGCATGCAAACAAATTTTTTCAATTGCAACTAACATAGTTAGTATGCTTGTTCAATTTCAGAGAGTCAATCTGCTCATATTACCCTGATGAGAGAAACTGAAATGCCAAAATGAGCGACGATCGATCAAATTTGTATCGCAACCATCATCTAATTACAGAGAAGCTTAAGTCATCGATACTACGCTGTACGTTATAGGATCTTCACAGTTCTCAGAAACGACCTTCTGTAACTTTTCCCACTCGTATGAAGCCATATACAGAGTACAACAAAATTATGGATACCCCTTGCGAAAATATAAACACAACTGCTCTATTTATGAGGAGGATCAGATTGTTTAATGATATGTATGTTAGGGAGACGGATCTATATGGTATGCTAACCTGTGGTTATTGTACTTCTTCTTCTATATATGTTCAGAAATCAGTAGAAAGGACAATGTGCTCTAACATAATCATAGACTCCCTTTTCGAAAAACTGATTTTTTTTCTTCCATGTAGTTGTGCTGAATCTTTAGCGATCTATCAATGAAGATTCATTGTATACGTTCTGTTGTAGTAGTAACTGTTTCTATGGTTTCTTATTATAAGTGAGCCGACATTTGAATTATTTTCATATAAGAATCTCAAGGCTTGAGACATTTCCCGAAATTTCACTAGTTTTGAGCCCAATTCTACTCATTAAAAAGTTTTCATGAGTTAGATCGATTTAGATCAATGGGAACGAATAAGATTTTTTTTTCAACAAGATCATTAGAATCAAAATAGAAATGATATGATCCAATAATACCAGTTAACTCTGTTGGCCTGTTAGGACTGATCTAAAATATATTGGAATTGCAAGTAAAATTTCAAGCTCTAACTTAAATCCAATAGTGTGATTGGAAAGTACACATGAGATTATATTTAAAGCGTGCAAACCATAATATGAAACATTGATCAAATAATAACATAGAAAAATCAATTAAAAATGCAACGTCCACCTTTACCAACACCAAGTCGTAATCGTGTTCGTCTTCGACAAACTTCAACATCTCATTAACGTAGTCTTGTTCAATTTAGTACACCAAAACCATTACCATATCGTTCACCGGCTACACATATTCCACAATCAAATAATGGTACTCTATGGAAAACATATGATCTTGACTAAAATTCATTAAGAATACGTTTTCTTTATTCAAATTTACTTTTACTTGGTATTGAATGTTCATCAATTTGTTGTCGTTATCGTACTGCACAGCAACAACAACAAATATCAATAGATGAATTATCAAATTCAACTGAATTTATTCGTTTTGTAACGCATTTTCTTCTTTTAACTTATTTATCTGATGCACAACAAATTGAATATTTATATGATAGTACACATTGCTTTTCGTCAATGGTTCTTAATAAACAATACGAATTTAATCAAATTATTAAATAATATTTTAAATTATTGTCAGATACTCATCAACAATATCCATGACCATAATTAAGTCCAATGCCATCATGTTCACCACGTTATTTTATTCGTTTATCTTATTTATCTTAATTATGTTTAATACGTCGTCTGGAACCATTAGATATTCAAGAACATTCTTTAACAAATGAAAATTTTGAAAATATTGATTTAACAAAAGAACGTTTTCAACGACAAATTCGTATGATAAAAGCTGCTACATAACGATATTATGTGATGTTTTTTAGTAAAATAGCTAATGAAAAATGTGAACGTATTGAATATGAAAAACAACAAAATATGCATTAGACGAGCATATATATATATATATAAATTAATTATTTAGAAAAAATTAAAGAAAAAAAAGAAATTATTGATGGATTATTTGGTTAGTCACAAATAATTGATGAAAATCAATTTGAAATATTTTCAAATTTAGTTCGAGAACTTTATACAAAAATAAATTCAGATATTTATAATAAATTCGAATGATTTATTAAACATAATTCATCAATATCATTACCATTAATGGATGTTGGTATTGGTTTATTACCAAATATATGTCAACAGATATATGATATTGTTAATAAACAAGAATATATTCCAAATTGAATAACTTGTCTATATCCAAAATTTAGTGAAAAATCATCATCTACATCAACAAGAATTAATCTTAAGGATCTTATACAAGCAGCTAGTATTTGCCTTGAAAAATGTCTTGCTCATCATTCATTATCTGACAAAAACCTCGCTAAACCTAGATTAGTGCTTGAACAAATGCATACAACTATTAAACGAACTGAAAAAATACATAAAACACTTGATCATTTCCAACATTTATCTAAACACATGAAACGTTATGATAATGAACAACAAAAATAAAAAACAAGCATTTGATAATATTGCGAGAAGATTTTATCTATCTATTGGTTGTGAACAAACACCAAATTCATTTGTTACTTGTTATAATACAATTGCAACAATAAATGGTGATGATTCATTGCTTACATTTGAACAGTAGTGTAAAATAGATTCAAAAATACTTATTGATCGTCCTCAGCGAAAAACAACTCTAGAAACGAATGTAGTTGCAGTTCTTATGGATGGTAAAATGGAAGAAGATTATCCACAAAAAAAAAAGAAAATATTATACCTCAAGAACAAATTAATGAAATTTAACTTGAGAAAATTGATAGTGATATTCATTTTATCTCGCCTATTATTTCAGTACCTATTGGCCAATAACAACCTACCATGTCTAAAGTACTCGAACAAATTTATGCAATTGATCCTTATTGAAATTCTGTTCAACATGTTGAATATATATACTTTTTTTCTTCTCATTTATCTTGCTTGATTATACAAACTTCTTTTCTTTTTTTTACCTATATCTAGCGATATACATATCCACTATCATCAATGGTATATGAAATTTCTGTTCGATTTCTTTTCAATGTTGTTCGGGAGTCATTTCACATAGCATAGTCATTTTCATCTGTTTGTTGTAACTAGCTAATGTTTTGGACATTCAGCTACCTTCTAGGAGATATGTTCCGTACTAGAATTTGCACGCTTTAAATACAACCTTATGTCCTCGTTTCAAGCACACAATTGGATTTAGTTAATCGCTTGAAATTTTACTCGTACAATGACAAAGAAAAAAACTAACCTATAATTTCAGGTGCACCTGAAGCATCAATTTTAAACGAACAATATAGTTCTTGTTTTTCAAGAAATTGAGATAATGGCTCAAAAACATTGTCATTAATAGCAATAATAACTTCTTTTTCACCAGTTACTTTTGAACGTAATCGTGGTGCTTTGATTAAATATTGTACAGTTATATCATTTTTAAGAATTAGTACATTTTTAACCTCCTCTTGAAAAGTATCCCAAAGAACAACTTCTGGATATCTGCAACAGTAAAAAAAAACAATTGTTTTATTGTTATTGACGTCAATGTATTTCTATGACTAACGTAGAATATTTGCTCTTTGTCGACGAATTGGACTTTTTTTTACCATATGTTAATATTGGCAAAGATGTTTTGAAAAATTCGATTGGAGTTTTATTTATAATACTAAATATATATAAACTTCTGATTATGTCAATATTTATAATGAAAACAACTGCTTTACATACGTATATGGATTATCGAGTTTTGGTACTACAGAAGAATTATTGGTTTCGACGCTCATGATTAGATGAATATGACGAAAATCGAAAATATACGAGAAAAATCAAGAGTTATAATGTAAGTTTAACAAAGATGAGTGAGTAATAAACATACATGTTGAATCGTATTTTCTTATTGGAGAATATCAAATGAAAGGAAAAATAAAAATGATGTCGCACATATCTACTACTTCTTGCTTAATGATTTGAAAAAAGTAGAAGACACTATTTTTTTTTAAACAAATTTACAGTTGGATGCAAATTTTCACCTTGATCACAATTATAAACTTTATGTTAATTTTAGTTTAAAATCCTACTTACAATACTTCATTTGATATGAAATAATCTTTTAAATAATTATACAGTAAGTAATAAGTGTTATCCATTATAACCAAGAAAAGTTCTGAATTTTTAATGGAAACAACATAGGACTTGTATCTTTATACATGTAGCATGTTCAAAACTCAACAAAAGTTGAATTATTAGATTTTTTAAACTTCTTGATCGCATGCGAAATAGTTGTCATCATCGTTAAATTGCTTTTCATATCGCAGAACTTTCACTTGTAGAACTTTATATTATTGGTTATGTGATACATAACGAAGTCATGTCTCAATATTCAAACACATCGAACACCATTATAAACGAAACTGAAACGAATTCTAATTTATCTGATTAATTAACAATATATTATCTGAACAACAGTTAACGTGTGACATTGCTATATGTAGAGAGAGTCATAGATATTTTCAAATAATATGTGATCCTCAGGGTGTGGGTGTGGGTCTTTTTAATCCACATCTACACCCACACTCACATCCACACCCACATCCACACCTACACCACCGACACCCACACCCACACCACACCCACCCACACCCACACCCACACCCACACCCACACCACACCCACACCGAAATCTCTTTCCTTAGACAGATACTTAAAAGATGTAGAATCAATTACAGAATTCCTGTTAGACAAAAATAATCAAAATACTCGGCATTTATGTTCATTATGCTATTCAAGTTATCCTAATGATCGTTTCCAAAGATTGGATACATTGATGACGTCTAAGAGATTACTTGATGATTATTCGTTAAAGAAAATCAATTATAAATTATATTTATGGTGGTAGTATTGCTGTATGAAAAAGCATTATTTTATTCTTTAATATGAATTATTTTAAAATAAACAAGAGAAATCTACGTTAGTACATCTTAGTTCGATAGCTTTCAAAAAAGACGATTTGTGTTGAATATAGGANAACGACAGAATTGCCCAGAACCAAAAATTACGTTGAAAACCGCCAATATCATTTGATACAAGATGGTCGGCTGCAAATAAGATAAATACAAAATGTAGTCGACCATTGAATGTCATGACAGTCAGACCTGTTGCTTGTAAATAATTTAAATCTTTGACGATAGGTTCAAAATATTTTATACGATTGCTTTGTGATGATAAATATTTGTAGAGTATATTCCAACAAGACCCATCGATTGTAGCATAGATCGTACAGCATCTGGTAAATCTTCTAAAACAAAATAATATAATTTTAGTTTATGGTCGTCTTTTTTAGGACCAATTGTATTTGTAACTCTAATCCCATCTGTATAGAGTTGAATCAAAAATGAATCAGGATACAGTTTCAATGAAGGATTATCTTGTGCAGCAGTGCCGTCACGATATGTTAACATTAAGTCGGGACTCTACTTTGTTTGTGCTATATTGTTGTTTAAATTTTCAACCAAATAATTGATAATATCTTGTGCATTAAATCAATTTTTAATCCTCGGTACGATCGGAGCATAATAACCACACTCATCTTGACCATTTAATTTAACTTTCAATGGTGCTACGTGCCAAAAATACTGTTCACAGCGTTTCGTAAATTGATGATCGTTTTTGGCAATATCAGTTATTGAAATTTTGTTTTTTGCGATACCAATTTACCTATGACTTTTAAGAGAACGAGCAGATCTGTTGATGATTGTGTTGCTTGGTTTTGGATAATTTTAAATAATGCACCTAGCATTGTTGTAAAATAAGATGTTATTGATTTGATGATGCTTTGTGGTAATAAGTGGCCTTCACGTAAGTCAAGTAAAAATCGAGTACCATGTTTTTCAAACGGATTAATTGTAAATTCTTCTATATCATCTTCTTCATTAATTGAATCTATGAAAAATGGCCAATCTATATCATCTTCACTTGACCTAGTGTCTTCAAAAGTCTTGAGTTCATCATCATCTGAATTTTCCGGTACAGCATTAAGTTTATCTTCTTCATCTTCAATAATATTCGCATTCGATGATATAATAACGGGGGTGGGTGAGCGCTGCTGCTAATTGTATAACAAGTCGATAAATCATAATCGTTCAATAAATCACGATGATATAGACTCAAATGACTACGGTAGCTCTCAAAAATAGGATAAATAGAGCCGCAAGAATGATTTAGTGACACAACGAATATTAAATGGTGTATCATTTCGATGAAACGAACGAATATGTTTATAAGAAATTATAAAAGCGGTAAATTCTGAGTGATTTTGACACAGGGGACAAAAATAAAGAGAACACATTCTTGGTTACCTTTGAATTTTCTGTGTAGGATCGAATTGAACATAAACGTCGATAACCACCTTAATACATCGTCACATTTTATATCATATAAAATCATTGTTGTGTTATAATTAAGTACCAGCTAGTTTATGAATTGAAGGAATAACTTTGCGTTTATCGAAAAGAAGCAAAGATAAAATAAGTCTAATTGAATTATTCTAAATACTAAAAGCTTGTGAATAGGTGAAAACCAAATGTAAATCCTGTTGACTAAAACACTGAAGACCTTCACCAATATATAGCACCAGCATAAGATACGTTGCGATTTTAAATTTAGTCTGTGAGAAAGACAAACAAAAATGCGATAACAATAAAACGAATAAAAAACAACACTGAATTCATTAATGTTGATGATTAACGGACCCATTAGATCATAATATTACGTTTAAGTTCTTTCTGTCAAATTTTAATTTTTTAAAAATGAAGGGATTAAGTGGTAACAGAGAAGGTGAAACAATTCAATTTCAAATTTTTCGTTCAAGAAAGGCCTGTCTTGAGAATATAACAATCTTCTATAATAGATCTAAAAACCTTAAATTTTTATGCTGCTAGTCAAGATGAAAAAAGAGCCGTTATTTTCGTGGATTTTTCTTTTCTAACCGAAGACTTGCAATTGAATAATATACAGAAAAAAATAAATCTTATATTCATCATTAAGCGGCCGAGTAACCGTTATTAGCAACGAATTAAGTGGCGTGTGTCGCCTATTTGCTATTTTTATATTGAATAAGTAAATCCAAATTGACGTTGATTAGTCGTGTTCAAAAAGATATATCCTAGTTCAAGCGACGTGCGCTGGAATCATCTTTTTAGGAGAGCACACCTACTAAAACCCTAAAAATCGGTTTAAATAAATTACATGTATTTATATATTTTACAAGAGAAGAGCTTAATAAAAATTCACTCTTCTCTTCAATGAGAAGAAGCTCGTGTAAATACAATGGCAAACGATGATATATGACCATTTATGGACGTAAAAATTCTGTTATCGTGCTGGCTACGGTCATTTGCGATCCGTATACGAGCAGTCTAACAAAATGCCTAGAATGGAATAAATAATATTCGCTAAATAAATTCTATTGTCGAGTATTATTATTTGCTGTTGTTGTTTAAAAAGTATTGAGGTTTGTGATTATCTTCTTAAATCAATAAATATTTGAAAATATTACACACTTGCTCTCACTTTATTAGATGAATAAATAGAAATATTCAATTTTTTTAGAGATGAGTAACGAGCAGATAATATGCATAAGAAAATTGATGATCTTAAATAAGATGAAGCTTTCATTTTGACATATCATCATTATGTGTATATTCTTTACATGTAAGACATATTTACTAAATAAAGCCAAGAAACAAAATAACTGAATGTTATTGCACAAAATAATCGAATATAAGTAAGAGATATTTTCCCACATTGCAATCAAAATAAAATCCTTGAGCGTAGACATGTACACATGTATATGAAATCAATAGGAAAGAAAAAGGAAAAATCTTGAAGCCTGACTATTTCTTGATGAGTCATCATTGACTCAATATACATTTACTTGTTACGGCTGAGAAATTGTACTATTCTTTTTCCCATATCCTTCAGGTTTTTTTTCCTTTAATTTTCTTTTTGTCCCACAAGTTGTCATATAGTTACAACACTAAAAAACGTATATAAATGGATATTATAAAATCAGTTTTTATTCATTGATTACAAGAGAAATATAAGTATTATTATATACAAATATATATATATATCTAATTTGTTCTGTTGAATTCATCTGATCATCAAAGTGAACGGTAAGTATTACTCTATTCGAGAATTTTTTTTCTTTCTGTTATTCGTTGTAAAGGAAGAGAAACAAAGGATTTCTCTTTTTATTCAGACGAAGTATGTATGAGTACGATGGTAAATGACACTGATATATTACGTTGAGACATAGTTATAATCGTAGATGTCTATGCTAAGACTACGTTGAATCATCATGAATAATATTTAATTAATTGTGGTTTTGCCTGAAAATCATCAAATACATCGCGATTATTTTATAATAATCGGAAAAAATCGCTGGTTTAGGCACTTTAAATAATGTAACATAAACACGACATACAAGGTGTCCAGGAAATAACAGAACAAAGAAAAGTTTGAACACATATCTTTGCCATAATGTGACCGAATGGGCTGATATTTTTAACACTGATAAAGCACTATGCATAGCTTATATGCATAAGAGAAACGTTGTCAAAAATTGTTTTGAAGTGTACAACTAACTTCAACAAAAAACTGTAACATTTCATGAGTTATGAAAAACTAATATTGCAGTTGTGTCAATGACTGAAACTTTCAGAGTACACTGAGTAACAAGACATATATCTGTAGTATAAGTATGAGACAAAACGGCACTAGTGTGAATAAGTAATCGAAACAATTGCATGTCGTTTATTCTTATGAATATGAGCTATACATAGTTCTTTATTAGTGGTAAAAATATTAGCCCATCTGGTCAAAATATGACGGAGATGTGTATTCAAACTTTTCTTTGTTTTGTTACTTTCTGGACACCCTGTACTTACAGCTCGTAAACTACGAGCGTCGGCCTAGCATTAGCATTTAAAATATGCTAATGTCTTTGTATTAGAGTTAAAAAAATAATTTAATGCTTTTGCATTAGTGTTAAATTAGTATTAGCATAATGATAATGCCTCTTGTGGTTATGGAAGTTTTGTATAGATGCATCAGTTTAGTTTTACTACAAGTTAGTATCGATTCGGATTTCCTTTGTAGCGCATATACAAGAATCATTACATGTAAGTCACAACCAATTCCCATAGAAGTTGGTTAAATTGATAATTTCTGATTTGCATGGTTTTATATACGAGAGAGAAACAAGTGTTCGATGAATTTATAGGCAAGTCGTTTGAATAAATATTGTTCCATTCTTCAAAGATTGAAAAGAAGTGTATCAAATTACGTACCAAACGTTCCAAAGAACTTGAATCTAACTTTATTGGCCTGAGAATCGGCATTGAACCCTGATTATTTTTCGCCAGTTTACTTTGTATTGTATCAAAACTCAATTTTTCAGTCCGAGATCCCTCTCCGGTATCGAAAAAAGTTTGTATTGCTATTCTGTTACAAGGTCTTATATTTCGATAGCAGTAAGTACTCTGATTGTAAATATCATATTTTTTTCAAAAGTACTCAAAATAATAGGAAAGATCTCAAGTACTCTGTGAAAAAAAAATCCAGTTTTTGATCTGAAAGTCAAACAAACACCCGTTTACAATTCGTCGAAAATAGATTCATTCGATGCAGAATTTTATCGCTTATCAGAATTTATAAGAAAATTTTTAGATATTCAAATCTGTTTCTAAAAGTAATGATTTTTCGAGTCTAATGAAGTTATAGTTTCAATAAATGCACTGGCGAGATTTTTTTAAACAAATATATAATTCAATATGCTTTTTGTGACGACATTATTATCAACTAGAAATTCGATGTATACTGAAGCACCTGTATCTAACTACAATACTTACGAGCCAACTTGCTTCTTTATTGACTAATTTTGTACGATTTTCGAATAGATGTATTAACATTTGACTTGAAACAAATGTGATGTCTGGAATCAGCATAAAAAACTGAGTTGGTTTATATACGTTTGCACTGTCTCTAGAACTTTCGAACTTCCGTCCAATTTTGATCGCTGGTCCCCCAGAGAGATAGACGAAAAAATGAACTTCATCAAAACAGCTATTTAAATATCTAGAAATCTCTGCTATAGTTTCTAACCATCATTTTGCGAATTCAGAACTGCGTTTACATTGCCGAGAGAGTTTTTTTGATAGAGCTCATTTTCTTCTGTTCCTGAAGGGAGCCCCACGTGTGAAAAATAGAGTCGTAATATAATACAAAATGAAGTGGTGAAAAATAATCAGGGCACAATGCTATTTCTCAGGCTAATAATTTTAGGTTTAGATTCTCTAGAACGCTGGGTCCATAATTTGACACCTTCTATTTCTAAGGATACTATCGTCAGTAGAACACTTGTCCAATTTGTTGCCTTTCGGGTGAAAACCATATCAAC